TACATGATGCCGGTTATCGAGGGATAAGGAACGCGAGAGGCAAGTCGCCGATGACATTGATATCGATTCCCGCGGGAAGACGACAGGCAGGCAACACGCCTCGGTGGGTTACTCTTCTGCCGATTGCTCTCCGCGCGCGCGAGCGAGCGAAAGAGAGACAGAGGGAGCGAGGAGGGTCGCAGATGGACGTCGTGCACGCAGACGGACGGGGCGAGAGGGCTGATATCTCGCCCCGTACGTTTACCGTGAAGAGGGTCGATGGGCGAGTAGGCGAGGACGAGTCGAGGAGGAGACGAGGACGGCAGGCGTGTTGACGAGAAACGATGGGGCTGGCTCCCTAATTCGAATTTAGGTGTTGGGCGGGTTGGCAAGTGGGCGCAATGCGGTGTCACGCTGCGGGCGTTTGCTCTTTCTCCTTCAGCCCCTCCTGGTTTTCCCTCCGCCGACCCACCGCCTCCCGTCATCCGCCTCCGGTCCCTCCCGCGCCTCACCTCGCCCACGGTACGCGCTCCACCTTCCGCACTTTAACCCCCTTGCTCCATCCACGGGCGCAAGCTCCTCGCTAAGCCCTCCGCTAAGTCCCATCCGACACCTCCGAGCGCCACCCCCGGTACCCTCTAAGCCAGATCGACCGACCTTAATCGACCTCCTGATCTCGACGATCGTATTATACCTGCCTGCGCGCACTTCCTTCCTCCCGTCCTCCCTCGATGAGAAAGCGATACTCGGAGTTACCCACGACTTCTGCGTTTTCTCCTTACGTTTTCAGGAGACTTTCCCAGTTCGCGGCAAATTACCGTCGCGGTACCGCGCTGAATTTCCGCCGTGGATTTAGTTACCGGTTACGGCACTTGCGACGGACATTTGATAAATGCGTTTCAATCGAACACGTACGCGGGAGATGAGCAAATTTGTGCTGCGAAACTTCAACTCTTAACGTTTTAATTTTATTACTATTAAATAGGTATTTGCAGCGCGGGCGCTAGTTAATACTTAAAACGAAAACTTGGAAAGCTACTCAAAGGGGATAGCGTTCAATCGAGTTTTAACGTAAGAAGATTAAATGTCGGTTTTCACCCAATTTGTTAAACGCCGGTGTACAAACAAATATAAAAACTTTGAAGCGTGCCATTATCTCGCCCGCAATTTTTGGCGGATAAACTCGTATCGCGAACGCGACAACGCCGAGCGTATCGTTCGATCATGCGTAAATGCCCCGTTGCAAAAGTCCCGCGGAACGGAAGCTCAAAATGAAGAAATCGGCCGTTCCTTCGCCAACGGTGATTTTCCACAAACGGACATTGTGTTCGCGATAATGACACTTAAGCATCTCGAGAGGGTCACGCGCAGCATCCGGATGCGCGACCCTTTGTAATAGCGCTAAAACGTTCGGTATGTCAAACGGCAGGATTTCCGGCGTGTCTCGCAACGCTTCCGATACAAGATTCCCGTTTTATTCCCGACACGGAGGCGAGTAGGCGAAGCGTGAAAAGTTGAAGATTCTTTTTAATCCGCGATAGATTTCCCTCGCGGGATTCTTATTCTCTCCTAGGGACGCGGGATAATCGCAACGTTTGCAAAATAGGAAAATCCCCTAGAGAGCAGGAAAGTTCGAACCCTGGCTGAGATAATATTTTTCGCAATAAATTTTCTGTGCTAAAACACTGGCCGGTTAATGCCGACTAAAAAGCTTGATTATTGTTACCTATTACTGGCAAGGGGGTAACCACTTGATGTAATCGTGGGACAGTGTCTCCGAAATCATTGTGAAATCCTTACAAAATTCCCCGTGTAATCGTTTTGTCTTAATTCTCAAGTTTCCTCACTCGTAAGACACTAAACATTCAATTTGAACATTTTCTCAGCTTGCTTTTATTTTCCAACAAAAATTACTTCTTTTAGCGAATATCCAAATATATACCTATCATAGTTCGAATACCAGAATCTTAACTGAAATTACCTCTACAAGCAAATACTTCTTAGTAAAATAAGAAAAATATATTTTGAGGAAATCAACGACGTTACATATTTTTAAACGTGCATATAAGAAAATTATTTGCGGTTAGATGAGATTATTTGTAATCAGATAAAATCGTGTAATCGGTGGGACAACATTTTAGCTAGTGGCTACCCCCTTGATTACTGGCAGCTTAAAGAGATTTCTATGTTTAAATTTACACCTACGACTGAAAGGTGGTGTCTCAGTCAATTTCTAGAAGACTTGGTCTTAGCAACTGCGTCTATGAAGAGGGGAAGGGGACAGGGATACTTAAAATCGCGTATCGACAGTTCTGTGTACTGGCGACAACCCGAATCGGCGCGCAGTTTAAAGTCGAAAAGTAGACGCGAAGATATCACCTTCGTACTGTTATTGCGACAGATATTACCACATGCCTCGGTGGTCGAATTGGTCAGACGCCTAGAAAGCAGGTAAGTCCAGGTTCGAACCCTGGCCGAGGTAATATTTTGCGCAAGAAATTTTCTGTATTAAAACACTGGCCGGTAAATGTCGACTAAAAAGCTCGATTATTAAACAATATATGGTAACACGCCAATGTCACATGGCAAGATGTAGGTAGCCCAACTTGCAAATCTTAAATCTTTCTGAAAATCGTGAATCTATATACCGTTTCTTTCCACATTAGTACTACGCGCCGATTTCTTTTCCGGACATAACGCAGTTTATCATATTATACTTAGTCGCTTATACTTGGCGCGAGACACTACCGTGTCTCGTGATACGTGGAAATATTGTCGTCAGCAGATTCACGTATTCGATTCGATAATTATTTTTCAAATGCAATTCGCATTTTTCTGATGCTATATTTAGCATTCGATTATTGTTACCTATTACTGGCAACTTAAAGAGATTCCTATGTTTAAAATGGGAAACTGCTTGTTTTATTTTACACAAAATTTCGATAGTCGAGCGGATTGAAGAGGGAGGCGTTGTGGAACGTCCTGTACCGGGAGGGTTACTCGGTTAATATATTTTTTACAAGCTTGTCTTGCGGCCGGATTAAAAAGGCGACTTCACCGGCCTGCTCGAGTGCAAGTTTACGACTCCTAAATGGCAGGTTTGCACGGTGGTCTCACGCGTCCAACGGCGTAAACTCGAGGAGACGTGCCTTCCCTCCGCGCTACAGGGGCGTGCACGCCGCCGCTAAAGTCAGAGCGAAAAAGGAAGAGCGCGAGGCGAAAGTGTTACGGGCTAACAGCAACAAAGCCGCAAGGGAACCTTTCGCGGCGAGAAAGCTTTTCGGGCGGACGCGCGCGGTATCAGCGAATAAAAAATGTAACGAGACGCAACGCGCCACACCTCCGCGCGCGATAGGTAGGGTATTCTTCGCCCTTTTGAAAAATCGGCCCGTACGGTCAACGCGTGCAAACACGTAAACGTGCGAATTATTAAATAATAATTTGAACGCAATCGCGCCACTTTGGCGTAGAAAGAAAACGGCGTCGCGGGATATAATTACGAGGTGTGCTCGCGCGGCGGGAAAGATATCGCCCGTAACACGAGACACGCTTAGGGTAGATTCGCCGGTGATAAGGGAGGGAAGAAAAAAAGGAGGACGCATAAACGAGGAAGAAGAGCGAGAAGGGCGGTGGAAAAAAAAAGCAGCGCAAAATTCGCCGAACGCAAACCGTCAGAGACTACGTTCCCGAATAGCTCTCTTCGCCGCCAGTCTCCTTTTGTCTGTCGGATTTTTAAGAGCACCACTCACGTCTCATCCACCCTTCCTCTTCAGTCCACATCCACCGCTCACCTTCCACCGTACCTTCCGCCCCGCCGAGGCTTTGTACAAATACGCGCGGGCTCATATATACTTTTACGCACACACGTGTATAAAAATATGTATTTATACGTGTACATATACGTATCCGCACGTACATATACGTACATGCGTACTCGCGGCGCTTTAAGCGCGCGAGATCAAAAGGCGTTGCCTACCGTTTTGGCGCCGATCAGCGCGCACTCTGCGCTTCATTAACCGCTTCATCGGCCCTAATTTCACGTTGAGGTAAAATTTGTCAACGAACGAGGGTGGCGTACGTGGAGGGCGCGAAATACGATTGTCACTAATGAGCTAATTAAATCTGGAGATTAACGGTGTTTAACCGTGCGATCGCAATCTTTGCGTTGCGGGAAGCCTGGACGCACTACGATCGATGCAGCGCGAACTCGTGAGAGTGTCTCGTTTAGCTTTTACGAGAGAAAGTTTCCGATCGGAGCGGGATAAGCACCCAGCGTAAAATCTCAAAATTACGAGTGTGATCTTAAGCAAAAAGGCAGCGGTGACGAGAGAACACCGGTATATAATCCTAATAAAAGTAAACATCTTCAATGATAACTTGACCGTGTCTGGCAATTTTTATGTTCAAAACTCGCAACGTTTCGACCACGGTTTGTGATCCTTTTCAAGTGATAAAAATAAATATCGACGTTTAAAAAAGCTCTTTCGCGATACCTGAATATTTAAGAATCGCTACAGTTTTAACGATCCTATAATTTCGCGTGTAGTTTAAATTGGATATATGAGGGAAAAAAAAGAGAGACTTAAAACGAGAAGTTTAAAGGGATTAGTCGTTCCACGTGATTTCATAGCAGAATGGTTTCAATTTAAAAAGTGCGGGTTAAATAAAAGTCAACTCCGTATTATCTACGTAACGGAAGTGTGCTTCAACTACCGATGCCAGAGAAAAACCTCCCGAGAGTTGTTGATCCTTTAATTAAGAAGTACTAAGTAAGTGCATTACTGTGCAGGAGACGAGAAAAGTTTGAAACTCGCCGAGTACACTTTTAAATATGCCCCAAGTGCGCTAAACGTCTTATTTGGACAGTAAAATAACGCGATGGTTTTTATTCGTTTTTCGTCTTCGGGCAGAAATGTTGAAAAACAAAATGTCGCTACGAAAAATAATTTCGTGCGTGCGACGCACACGATGCGAAGCTCTCTGGCGCGGTGAGCGCAGCTTTCATGTAAATTACCACTTACCTTGTTCCTTCTCCGGAATTTTTGCAGGTGCCTTTTTATCGGGTGCCTTCGGTGAGCAGTTCTTTCGCGCTGGCCTAACGGTTAATGTCGGTGGAACCTGTCGGACATAAACAGGACGTAGCTGTAGTATCTTTCCATGACGCGCATTAAGACTTTATCGTTCACGTACGCTGCGCATTATGTCATCGGCGCGCAAACACACGAATGGCATGCTCACCACTTTCTCGGACCTCTCGCCCGACGGTAATCTGGCTATGGCAGCGTCCGGACTGTCCTCGGGCGGCGGAGGTTGCACAATCCAATTGTATTCTCGTTTCTCAACAGGCAGGCCCCATCTCTCGTACTCGAGACTCTGCGTACGCAAGGTCTCGTAACAGTCCAAGCACACCACCGCAAAATCACCGTTCTCTAACAGCAGGCTCTTCTCCGGCTGCCTGTGATACCTCAGGAACGGAAAGTCCTTCACCGGCAGCGCTCGTACCCGTTTCCTGTACGTCACGATGCCGCAAACGTAGCAACAGTAGTCGTGGGTGTTGTACTGGCGCTCGGCCGCGTTCACTTGCTGGCCGCTGGAAAGCGATTCGTGCTGGCGCCACTGCGCCAACAGTGAATGATAACAAAACGTGCAGACCAGGGCCGAGCCGTCCTCGCGTAGCTGCTCGGCGTTCGGCGGCGACTGGTGACGCAACAGTTCCGGGAAAAATGGCGCGTTTCGGCCCTGCGGACGACCGTACAATACTCTCGCCAGAGTTAAATCGCTGTGTAAGCCGCATAGGAAGCAATAAATCGAGCTGCTCGATGTGCCCGGATTGCTTCCGAACGTGCGATCCGAACTGGAGCTCGGTGGCGTAGCGATTGACCGGTTTACGTCACCATTTGGATGTGGACTAGGAATATCGTATCTGAAATTTAACAGACGTCGCAGATATAATATATTTCTTTTAATTCTCTCGATGTAATATTCGGTAAAGGCAATTTCTCGAAACACAATTATATCTTTGAGTGTAAACTGTTCACAGAATTGTACAATTATCAATCCTTTACAAAGATCAAATCGTAAAGATATATGTGTGCACAAATAATACAATAGATACAATCGTAGAAAGAGAGAGCCACTTTAATCGACGCGCAAAACACTTGTTGCTCTGTAATTATGCGCAATAAATGCAAATCATTTAAAGAATAATAGTAATTTGCGGTAGACTAACCTGCGGCGTTCCAACGGAACCCGTTCGGCATCCATACTTTCCCACTGTTGCGCAAGATGATTCACACAGTGACTACACGCCAATACTCTCCCGTGGCTATCCATGCAGGCGTTTTCAGACGTACGTGCCATTCCTCTCAGGCAAGGAAAATGCATAGCGTGTGAATTCATTCCCTCCGGGCTCGTAGATAACCTGATAAAGGTAAAGAACAAGCTGATACTCCGATAAGAGGATAAAGGGTATCGAATTATCGATATCCCGCAATAGGATCAACTGTAATTTTCTCGGTTATCTTTATAGAGAGCTCACCATTCCATGTGAATGCTAGGATATAATCTCTCGCAGATATAGCACCGGTAATTTTGATGGCCAGCCGCGACAGTCCCATTCTCCGCGGGACCGTTACTAGGTGAATTTCGTTGTCCTGACGTGGGAGCTTTCACGGCGGCGGCGGCGGCGGCAGCGGCGGCGGCGGCGGCGGCGGCGACGGCGGCGGTAGTGGTGGTGGTGCTGCTTGTTCGTTGCTTGTTCGTAGCAACCGTTGACTTGTTTAAGTCGTATGGCTTAAAGCGAATATCGCTACCAGCTGAATTGGCCGGAGACTTTGGAACAGCTGGCCGTGGCGAGGGACCTGCAGCGAAAATGTTTAATCCCCCTTTAGACACCGTCCGTAAAGCCCGGTAAACAAAGTGTAATCATTCTTCATAGATCAGCGAAGATTAACCTTGTTGACGGAAATCTACATTTTGCCCGGCTGGCTGCGCCTCGTGATTCTCTCCGCCGAACACCTGCTGCTTCTGCGGGATAGCCTTGTAACAGATGGAGCAAACCTGCACCATTCCCTGAGGACTAATAGGACTAGCTCCTGTCGGAGGTCTCAGTTGAGAAATAAAAGGGTAGTACGCCTCCTTCTCTGGATTAGCACAGCAATACAGAAGTCTAATACTGGATGAAGGGTACTCGAGAGCGCAAGTGTAGCAAATAAACGTGGTTGTATCCATTGTGGGTGCTTGCCGCTTGCGAAGCGTGTAATTTCTATCACCGTGCGGTACTCCCTGCCGCGTGTACGCTTTCCACTGTATTAAAAGATGATTCTGGCACGCTGAGCAGGCCTGAGAAGAAAAAATCGGAGCGTATGAACGACCGTCGAAAAAGATTCGACGACGAGGGAACAGAGTTGGTCGGTAAAGTATGTACCTGCACTCGTCCAGCGCTGTCCATAGGTCGACTTCTACTCGGCCTGGGATGAAGCATCAGCGACGGAAAGAACGGCGGTGGACTGGAAGAAGGATGCGGCTGGGTTGGCAGTGGCTTCGCAGCGATATGACTGAGAGATCCCCTCTTGAATTCGTCCCCGCACACGTAGCAGACCTCCGTGACCGAGTTCTTGTCCGGCATCGACAGATCCAGGATGTCCGTGCCGACGCTAGATGACGATCCGCCGCTGTAGATAGCTACAATCGCGACGTTAGACGATTGATTACCCGTTTCGTTGGCCGTCGACGAGCGGCGCTCCATTTTCCAACGCGGACGTTAAGTTCCGTGATGAAACGCGCGACGACACGACTGACTGGCCAACCTACTCGCACCCGGGAATCGCGCACGCCTTCGGCATTATCAATCGCGCCGCACGTGGCCCACTTTATAGACTATTTTTCGCGGGTTTATCTCCAGGCAGCGTATCCGAATGCGGAGAGAGTTGTTGATAGTTTCTCGGCACTTTCGTACACGACGGCGAGCGCACAGTGTTTCAATAGCTCTATTTCGAACGACCCGGTTATCTGCCGGGGCACCCGCTGACTAATGAATATCAGATCGGCCGGATCGAAATTGTAGAGGTCACCGGGGGCTCAATAATCCGCGAAGCGAGCGAGAGCGCGGCGCGCGGGACGAAGAGGATCGTCTAGAATCGCCGCTGCGGATCGGACGTGCGCGCATTCGACGAGTCGGTCTCGCACACACTTGTTATCTGCTCAAACTGTTAACCTTTACTTTCAAACGTTTACGTTAGCGCACGGAAGGACTAAGGCCGGCGTAAATAACGACCCGATTCGTATATTTACCGCGTACACATTCTAAGGCGCGATAACGCAAATAGCGGTGAAAAACAGCTTTTACTCCTATCAGATAGCGCGCGCTCGCTTGTCCAAGGTGATTTCATGTCCATTCCGTTAAGTGCACACACTTCGGGCCCGTTTTAAGTATCGAGGCTACTAACAACGCTTCGGCAAGATTGCCGCTTAATATTTTCGCGCTACGTCGTAGATACTCGATCTGCATCCAAGTCGCCGCTTTCTTTATATAGGATGGCCAGTAAGTCGCGATAAACCGTGGTAACCGGCGAGAAGGTGATTTGTATCTTATCGTTTGAAAATATCTACATCGGGTATTTAAGTACAGTACGGTACGAAAGATAAGTGTCCGATCAATATAGATGCGAGTAATATAATTTGTCTTTTTCACCGAAATAATTTCCTTGCGGTGACTACGCCACAATTTACCGTGCGGGGGAACATTCTTTGATTCACGAAGCTAGGGAACAAAAGCTGACTTCAGATAAAGATCCAATTAAAGTCCCTCGGTCAATTTAATAATTTGGAAGATCCCGGACGGTCGCCTCCTGCTTTATACACGTTGCTCTCTTTAAAGAGGGACCGTTACTCATCGGATGCGGCAATATTAGCATCCGAGAACCTTTTGAGAATAAAAAATAAAAATAAAAACATAACACAAGAGTTACAAAGTAAATATTACAAAAAAAATATATAAATAAACGTACATATACGAATAAAAATCTGTAAAATAGAATAGCAGGATGAACACAAAGTTAGACGCGCGTTCTCCTTTTCTTAGCTTCGAGCATGAATAGATGGAAGATCGCGGCTGTCGAATAGCGATTGTAACCTGTGGGCGGCGGTAAGGTGGGTTGCGGCGCGGGTGAGCTCCTGGGCGCGTGTCTCAGGTCCAGTGCCGCCTCGTTGGACACCCTGGCGTCTTCGACGGGCTGCCGCGGGCTCTGCAACCTTTGATGGGGTGACTGCAATCTGTGGTGGGGAGATTCCATCATCAGCCTCGCCTGCTCCAGGTGCCTGTGCGTCTCCGTTGCGTTAGAATGCGGCCTCGGCACCTCGGCGACCGAATTCGACGACGGCCTGGTCTGCTCGACCCTCGGCGAGGGCGAGTTCGGCGGTAGGCGCGGCGAGATGCCGACCGGCCGGCTCTCCTGCCTGAGCTGCGGCGCCTGATCGTTGGTCAAGCCCAGGACCTGGGCGGCGTACTCGCCCTGCAGTGCCATCTCGGCCCCCGTGAACGGCCCGCCGTCGCATCTCTTCAGCCAATAAATCCGCTGGCTGTGTGGTCTAGCCTCCCGCTCGTAGCTCTCCCACTGCTGTAACAGCAGAATGTAGCAGAGGTTGCAGGCCTTGACGGCGCCGCTCCTGGCGCCGTCGCCGCGGTAGCCGCTTGGCGGCTCGTGCGACTCGAGAAACGGAAAGTAGGGCTCGTTGGGCGAACCGCCTGGGCTCGGCTTCACTCGTAGCCAGTGCTGCTCGCTGTGGCCGACGGTGCCGCAGACGAAGCAGATCCTCGCAGATCCGCCGCCGTCCTCGGGCGGATTGGGCTGCGCATTCGCGAGCGATTGCCCCTCAAGTCCCGGCTCATTCTTCACATATAATTTGCCCTCCATCATGTCAGGAAACCATTGGATCCCTTTTTAACGCCCACTTATATCTTCGTGTTTGGCACGCATGTACGATCAGAAATCACAGCGATTGATAGTGCTTCTATCTCTTGTGTATATCTGCAAATGTAAAACAGATTTGTAAACAAGACGCACAGTATACAAGTGACGTCGGTACGATTCTATTTACGTTATCGCCTGGCGATTGACAATTGGGAAATTACGCCGCCTACACGCGAGTGCACTTGAAACGCCTATATAAACGAGGATTATCTCAGACGATCTTGCGTCATTGGGCAGAAATATTTTACGAAACAACAACGGTGGAGCGATCGAAACCTACAGAGTACTCGAAAATTCTAAAACTATACTGGCTTAAACGGCAAACCGATTGCGGTGCAAACGACAAGGATTCTCTGTAAAAAAAAAGCCAAGAATGAGAATTGTTTCAATCGACTTCTCCGCTTTCAGAAGACCGTCGCAATCGTCCGTCGTGTCGCGGTTCACCGAACGATTCGTCGTTCGCTAACAAATTTGCTGTCGCAGGGACATTTTTGAAGGCGAGCACCGCGGCTCCGAATCCTGTCGCGCGTGCACGGTGTCCCCGGGTGCCAGTCGTCCAGGCGGCGGCTGGCGACTCGTGCGCAGGCATCCGGCAAGCGAACAGGACGATCCCGCGAGGTGCCGAGGGTAAACGGGCGCGGTTTAAAAGTGCCGTTCGCAAAACCGCGACGGCACCGCGGCGTTCACCCGCGGCATCTATCCGCGATGCATTTAGACCGCCGCCAGGCACGCGGTATATTTTTGGAGCATCGCCACATCGGCGTTTACCGTGCCCGACCAGAGATCAACTTCTCGGTACATCGGTAAGCTGAGCGCTGAAGGATCGTCGTTGAGGAAGAGAAGCGTGTGTGTCACCAGTGTGCGTGTTCTCAGGCGGCGGGGAGGCGGGGCGAGGGAACCGGAATGCGGGCGAGAGATGCGAACGTAGGCGTGGAAGCGTTTCCCGACGGGGACGACGGGCCGGCGGATGACAGCGGGGCGAGCGGAGCGCGCGGCGCCCGCCGCGGCGACGACCCACGAAACGTGGTGCGCGAGCTGGCGTTCGGACACAATGGTGGTGGTGGTGGTGGTGGTGGTGGCGGTGATGATGGTGGTGGAGGCGGCGGCGGCGGCGGCGAGCTCGCGACTCGCCGCTCGGCCCCGCGAATCTCGTCGCGCGGCCGACGCGAGGCGCGTGTCGCGGGCGCCGATTTCGGCGATGCCGAGACGGCGCGGAGCGGACGAGCCGCGCGGGCGACGCTTCCGCCGATCTCGCCGCTAGCGAAATTACGTCGGGGCCGGAGCCGAGCGAGCGCGGCCGCGCGCTCGCGGTCCGTCGCGGATCCTCCGCCACCGTTGCCGCCGCCACCGCCGCCGCCGCCGCAGCCGCCGCCGCCGCCGCAGCCGCAGCCGCCGCCACCGCCGCCGCCGCCGCCGCTATGCGGCACACGACACTCACGTTCTCACAGTTCGGCAGGGCTGGCCACAACATCGCGTCGCTACCCGGTGCTCCTGTCTCGGCGGCTGCCGCTCGTCGCTTGCGCTCGGACAAAAGCGGGGCTCCCTCGTCGCGAGCCCTAGTCCCTGCCATACGTGCTCGAGCGGCGCACGGTGCCGCGGGGTGTCACCTTCGTCGTCGCGCTGCCGGCCGTCCCGTTCATATTTACACGCGCCAACGCCGCCGGTGCACGACCGACGCCCGACGACCGGACACGTATCTCCACTGTCGCGCGTGACTGCGAGGTAACGGCGGGATCGCTACTACGGGCGACTAGGAAAGATACATTTTCCGATGGCACAGCACCCGCGACTTCGCCCTCACTTCGCCGCCATGTTGCAAAATCGCGATCCGCCGTCCCGTCATGCCACGCAGCTCCATCATATGACAGCGCCGCCGCGCCGGCCAATGGGAGCGCGCGGCGCGCGCGAGCCCGCGACCGGGCCGCCGCCATCGCCGGCCCGGCGCCAGATTCGAATCTCGCCGTAGGGTAAAGTCCCGTTTTGTCCCGCGCGCGAATCTTGTGATCGAGCTAGACGGATCAGCCTTGCGCCTTTGCCGATAAGTAATTAATGCGATCGCTTGACGGAACGTTTGTATGAAACGTTTGTTTGTCAGCGGTCGAAAAGTAACAGGAGATAAAATAATGAAGAGGTATATCAGTTGTAAGTTTAGTCAAATATGTTGATATTTCAATCACCGCGACGTTTGTCTCATATCCCGCAATTTTAAATTCTTCTGAATTCTTTACTGGCGAGTTCGAGCAGGAATACTAATCGCAGAATTGATCGTCGTTATCTTAATGGCCACTTTCTTTCCCCACGACCGATTTCTCGAGACCGAAAACTGCGGCCGAGGCCTCCGGAGCTTTCCTTTCGCTTCATCGGCATTCGGCGACGTTGCGGCCATCGCTGTAATCAATTACAGATCGCCGATGCGAATTACTTAACGATAATTTAATAGGCAGGTCAGTTTCCACTTCGGGTCAAGATTTGTACTTGAGAGAAAACTCGGGAAGAAATGCGACCATCTACAATATCTCTGACTTTTGACCCACTCGCATTGAAGATAATTATATTTTCTAAGATCAGACGATCAACTTTATCACTGTCGCTGCAAGAAACCTTGCAGCAATAATTTTCCAGGCACAAAAAAATCACCGAGATACATAAATTAATAGCCAATACTGCGAAAAAAAATTGGAACACTTTTGGTAATTTTTCTAATATTCCACAAGGAAACAGATAGGACTAGTATATTTTATTGATTCCCCTTAGGGTTGGGTCAAGGCGTTTTTGAAGGAACGTGCCCAAACCTCTTATAACACCTCTCTCTATATCCACTTCGTTATGTGGCGATCGAACGAAAAACCAACAATATTTTTGTTTGGTTTTGAACCCGGGTCTTCGGATTACCAGACCAGCGCACAATCCTTTGCGCCACGATCGCCACATTTACAGCAATTAAGCAAGTAGATATTTTAATCCTTTAAGATTTTGTTGTTTCTCAACTTTTTTAAACTAGTAAAGTTTTGTACTAATTTTTACAAAATTACATTCTACATTTTCGTGAAATACTACTTGTAATAATTTCTTGATTCGAGAACGTTGTAACTTGTGGCAATGTTTCGTAGATATTTTTACAAAAAAAAAGTTAACGTTTCAACGAAGATATAAAAATTTCTACAAATTTCAATTTCAAGTCAATTTTTCGTAGTTATTTATTGAATGTTTTTCCGCCAGGGAGCTGTCAGTTTCCGAAAATAATTAAAAGTTTCGTTGCTGGTACAAATTTTGCAGGCTACAAAACAATTTTCCCAACTGACCCAAGGAACGGCGATGAATTTTGGTTGCGACACTGAGAAATCTATCTGCGTCGCCAGGATATTTTTTCGAGTGACGAATAAGAATACGTCGTCTGATAGGAGGGATAAATAAGTGATATAGAAACGGTGCAAAAATACCGCACGCCGTTCCTTCGCTATTATTAATTGTCCCTCTTTCCGCGATCGATTATCGATGGTAATAAACTGCGCGGCGCCCATTGATTAATACCGCGAGAGGATCCGCGTTTTTTTATCGTAACGCAAATATCTCGACGCCGCATCTACATTTTCATCCGATTTGCCGCGCGCTACCGAATTACTTTGGCAATTTGGGATGATTTTTCAACGTTAAAATCACAACCGCGACGGTATGCGCGCGATTTCGAAAACCGCAGTGTCAACACGGAGAAAATTGCCGGAGGCAGAGATTCCGTTCATCCGCTTCTTTCGCGAGTAAATATAAAAAAAAGGGGGGGAAAAAAAGCGAAAAGGAGTAGACAGTTGAGCAGCCTGTAACGCGGACCCCGCTTTCTACGAGCGCGCCGACAGCCGAACCGGTCGTTCCACCGCGCGACGCTAATTTTTACGCTGACACACAATATCTGCTGAATAGAGGAATCCGAACGTGCGTGAGAAACGCGCCGCGCGACAAACGTGCCTCTTACGAAACGCCAAGGCGTTTCGCAACGGAACGAAATGTTAAACGGAAAAACGCGCGATTCTGGACGTGCTTTATCTATGCTCGGCGGTGCTTCGCGCCCGCAACTACTCAGCGTAATATAACGTATTCCATATTTTGTGTACTATTATATTATGCGATTATATTAACGGTATATATTTACATTTTTGTATAATACGATATATGTATAATTAGAATTGAATAATATAATACACATGAAGCCCATAAATGTAAATATATACATGTAAAATTAGAGGGGTTGCTTGCAGGGGCTAGAGAGGATTCGAGGGGGAGGTAGAAAAGAAAGGGCCGGTATTCTCAATGTTTGACGGTATTTAATCAACAGATCGGAACATCGTATTGAACGCTAAAATTTACGTCTCGTAAGTTGTGGTAATTTCATAAGTTACGCGCGCATTTCCCCACCGTCTCGCGCGTCGGGTGGAATTTTGATATAATACTAAAAAATAATTGGAAATACTTTAAAAATACTCTTTGCAAATGATAACTTTTAGAAATATACACACTTTCTCCTTTCTCTCTCTCTCTCTCTCTCTGTCTCTCTCTCTCTCTCGCACACTTTCATTCTCTCGGATTTTGTCCCTACCATACGTATCTATCGGCTACAATATTTTGAATTCTTGTTTTTTTTTCCTTATATGTTTTATACAGAGATTTAAAATCACAAGAAATTATTATTCGTAACGTGTAATAGTAGCGTTATTGTTGTCATCGTTATTAGTAATCTTACAGCTATCGACACGCAGTAATGGTACAAATTTAAGTTATTTTGTTTTTCACATCCGCGACCGCAAGACTCGTTATATTACGTAGAATGTAATCGCGGCTATATCGATCTCGTTTCCAAAAGCTTATCGACGAGATTATCCCGCGGCAGTTACGCGATATTTCACGAGGGAAATATTTTCATTTTGGCGCGCGCAGCGGCCGCCTAGTTACAAGATTGCATTGAGTTGCATAATCACTGATTTCAACTTAACGTTTTCACGTACGCTCGCATTAATGTCTAAAAGTATAGATCACTCAAAAAAAAAAGAAAAAAAACGGAGGACACTCTGATCTTGCAGATACAGTGTAGCCGCGCTATTCACGTTCTAAAAGTCGGCAAAGTATCTCGCCGTACGGTACAGAATACTAAATCTGCATCTTTGAAATGGAAAGAAGCTACGCTGTAACTGAAGAGGAGTATCTCGAAGGGCATCAAACGCAACGGCGTGTAAAATACACGCTATCGTCTTTTCTTATAAGTAATTACAAACTAAGTTCTGCTTTGCATTGATAAATGACTATAACGATCGTTACTTTTTCATTCTCTATCTTGCCTCTTCTCTCTCTTACGCTCTATCACTTTCGTCACTCATACAAAGCTCATAGTGCGCTGCTACTGCTGGATGTTAGAAATAATCATTCATTAGAGGCTATCTTGCCGCATTTCACTGATATACCGAATTTTTCTCACTGACCGGAAACAAGAAGGAAGAAGATCGCGTCGAATTTTTAACCAGCCCGAGATGCACGATTTAAAACGAGTACGCGCGCTACCTTCCAATAGAACTTCCTTTGCGTTTCCCTTCGACACAAAATGCCATTGACGTTTTACTCTAAGACTTATCTTTTAGGTGCAAAGCACAGGCAATTAGCTCGTTTTGCTTTTATTATGACTTACTCGGAGAGTGACGTATGCGCGTAGTTAAAGTATATTAAAACAGATTTGACATTTGGTGAACTTATGACTTTTACTCGCTTGACCCTATCGCTGCGGGTTATCTCGTTTCTTATGTACATATATAAACAGATATTATGGTAATAAAGTTTCCTTCTTCATGCAGAATGCATCAATACAAAAGAAAAAAAGAGAGTATAGATACAATTCGCAGGGAATCATTTTCGGCTAACGATTACATATTTAATTCTCCTTGCACGCTACGTGTGATAAAAATAGAATCCACAATATATATATATATATATATGTGTGTGATGTCCGCATTGCGCGCTGCTTTTATCGCTATGATCTACCGTTTAGTTAAAATGATAATACATAATACTTCAAGTCCGTCGTGAATCGTACGTAAACATCGTAATTAATGTAACGTATATATCGGCACAATTTAAGTTTAATTTGATCGAAACTATCCGTTAGAAGCGGCTGCGTTGTTCTTTTTGCATACGATATCATATATAATGAATAACGAATGTTGCAGTAAAAATATGCCGGGTCACCGATTCCGATAAAAGTTCCCGACCCGAGCGTGCATGCACGACCTGCGAGTGTTATCTAGATCAGAGTGAAAACATGACCAAAAAAAGAGGCTTTATCTATCTAAGAGGAACACAGAAGCATTGAGAAAGATCATGAAATAACAAGGAAAAAATTGGTCCGATCATCAGTGGGAAATAAAACTTTACTCCAAGTGCTTTTGGATCTTACACGATATAGATTACATCTTTGTCCGCGCATCTTCGTCGGCAGCACTGCCTCTCCTTAGATCTACGCTGCTAATAGCACTTTTCAGCCGCTCGACTAAAGGGACTTATTTGTAACGCCATTACGAGTGTGTAGACGCAATGATGTAATCCCGTGATTCCCTCGTTGGATCTACCTACGCTATACCCTCGTGTATCTCCTGCGCCTTCTCAACAATATCATCTTTGATCACAGTACTGTCGAATCATTTCTCAATCTCAATATTTTCAGACCGTTCTTTCACCCTGTTTGTTAGTTATATTCAAAGAAGCATTAGCCGTTCGTGAGAAACACACATTTCTTTGGTCAAAGAACCAAGGAAAACTTTTCTTTATAACTAACATAATTTTACTGAATTTTACTGAGGACGCATCCGAGATGTCAATGTGGTTTTATTGTACATAAAAATTCTTCATATAATTCAAACAATTTCATAATTTCATAGTAGTTTCGTGATAATATAAGTTTCAAAAGAGAACGTCGAGCCAAATGTTTCCACCATTTTGAGCAACGATAAAATAATTTCGGTAAAGAAAGGAGCGGGTCATATAGTACCTAGGAGTACAGACATCATTTTCTGTCCAAAAATTAAGCAGATAAATTAAGAATAAAAGCAAAGAAAGACGTCAAAGTAACATCAGATAATGATAGAATTCGCAATTGCACGTGACTGAACTCGTCGCGCGAGATAAAAGTTACAAAACAAGAGTCGAACGAAAACCCAGACCGAGCGTCGGGATGCGATCCAGTGAATGCCGAAACGTTCGGTCGCTCGCTCGCTCGCGGGCAAACGAAAAAGTGCCTCGCTCCCCGTGATCTCAGTACGCCCTCCCCGCGCGGCAAGTGACAATCCTGAAGAATCTTTCGAACGCGCCGGGTCTATGTCCGACTCGGCGCTCTCAAATGTTGCTGTTGACCGACGCCTCGCTGTCCAAGATTCTCTTGTCCTTCATCTCCTCCGCCAGCGGCTTGCTGAACACAGGCTCGATCGTCTCCGACAGCAGCTTCGGATTGTGCTTGTCGATGTGCGTCAGCTCGATCGGCAGGTATATCGTCCGGCAGTAGTCGATGTCGGCCCGGCATAGCGGGCAACGCTCGCAGCGACGGGCGCAGTCCAGGCAGGCCACCGCGTGCCCGCAGGGGAACAGGGCCGTGTCCAGGCTCCGGTCCATGCAGATCCGGCAGAGCATAGCGTCCAGCAGTCTCACCAGGCATTCGCGAGATTCCTGAAATCGTACGAGGCATTTGTATCGCCAGGATCGACGAGTCCCTCGGTTTGTCCCGATCGTACCCGGCGTATCTCGTCGACTCACCTTGCACCTGGGATTCTCGCACTCCCCGCAGGCGTGCCTGTCGAGGATCTCGTTCTCCTCCGGCAGAGCTATGGTCGCCGCCTCGCAGTAAAGCGCACGCCGCGCATTATCGTACACCTCCCGGCAGGTCCTGCGTATGTCGAACACGTACTTCTTCCCCAGGGTCGAGTCCTCGTTGAAAATGGAAATTATTGTCCCCTGGAAGGAAGCGCGATTAGATAACCGTTCGTTCGGCAACTCGCGGGGTCTGGGTGGTAAAAGAAGAATCGAATGTACAAAATGCAGGGGTGCGCACCTTTAAATCGCGAATAAACTGCGCGGTGACCGCGCTCCTGACGGTCTCGCAGCTGTAGAACGCGTGCTTCTCGGTGATCGCTCTGTAAAGCCCGCTGGCGGACTGGCTGGAGTCTAATTTAAAGTCCAGCGACGTCTCCTCGCCGTCGAGCGAGAGGTAAACCAGGTGGAACATCCGCCGTTGTGACGTGGCGCTTTGTATAGCTGTGTACGGTATACTGTAACGCAATACATAATACATCGTATAATAAATTGTACCGCGACGGAGGTAAAGTAAAATCTTGATGTTAATCTTCCTGCTGCATAATGGATGAGACGAGAGAGCCCGGGTGGGCCCTATTGATCTTATCGCGCGCGTTAAGCATTTTCTATTTGCCGTCGTTGTTTTCGTTAGGGATTTTTTTATTAACGTGGAGAACGCACAGAGAGGGGCCTCGGGGTCGATTCTGCATCTTACAGTCAAAATGCTCAAAGCTAGTAGCTCTGTCCCTTTCTGACCGTCCTCTTAAAAAGAGACCAAGCCGCTCGCTTTCAGGCCCGGTCTACAACGAGCTGTTAGTCGTTAGTCAGAAGTCAGAGCTGTAGGTCGGTCCTTTCTCTTCCACCCAGAGAGAAAAAGGATCAACGTATAGTTCCGACCTCTGACTAGCGGCTAACGACCAATTGTAAACCACGGGGGTCAATTCTGTATCTTGCAACCCATGGAGAAATGAAAAGTCAAGGTGACGTCAAGTTGATGTCATATTAATTTCCCTTGGAAATATAGTGAAGATGCTAAAAGTGTGCGGCTCTGTCTCCTCCTGAGGGGACGATTAGAGACAAAGCTATTCACTTTTAGCACTTTCACTACAGTGCAAGATACAGAACTGACCCCCTGGCCTTAACATTTTCACCGTACGTTGTAAGATACGGAATTGACCCCCGCGTCATTTTGTATCGCGCGCGGATTGATAACGAAGTTCTCTCGGCTTGAACGACCGCCTCGGCGGATGGTACAGCGCGCAGCAGCCGCCGGTACGTGCCGTCTCCTATCGCCGGCGAGCAACATTAAAATCGACCTGAGATTTTGCGCTGATAAATATGCAACTTCGCGACGGCGGGTGTTGCTCGGACGAATGGATCGATCGGTGTACGAAGGCGTCCGCTCCACTTAATCCGCGTCCAAAGGTATTTACGAATACAGGTGCAGCTTGGCGAAATGCGCCAAGTTTGAGACTCGGTTCTCCCGAAGAAGAATTCGCTCGGGAACGTCGCCGGCCGCGAGCGCAAATCGATTACGGCCCGTGTCTCGTGTACGTATATTAATGCATAATCACTTTTGCGTCTCTTCGTCCTGATTGCGGTAGACCGTGATTCCGTGCGGGCCAACGCCGATCATCGACACCCCGTTGTATCCAAATTTACTGTGAAACATTTCCTGTCCGAATGCGTCGAGGTTTGATATCTCTTTCAAGAGCCAATATTCAGCGGTCGATGCTTTCATGCCCTGAAAATTCACATACGTCTGCGTTATTCATGTAGATCGCGCGACGCATATTCATGCAGCAATATTCGGTTATCAAATTGTAAATCGTAAAAAGAGATTTGTTCAAAATTCCCCCCCCCCTCCTCCCGCCCTCGAAAAAGATATTGTGTTTCTCTGCAAACGTAACGATGCAACAAATATTGTGCACTTTCTATTAAACGGGATCACGCACATTCCATTTCGGAAATAAAACAAAAATCTAAATTCGAACAGAGTTTACAAAAAAAACAAAGAAAATAGAATAATTCGATAAATTTATTAAACACTGCAAAACGAGAGTATGGCGCGTGTAAAATTCATTGGAACAACATTCGAAAATAAACACATATGGCGACAATCGGGAAGTTGCTGAAATAAATGTTACTTTACACGAATAGACAGAATGAGATACAGCAAACACTATATACTGCGGAATAAAATTGTCAGTTTTATTAGCGCGTAGTAAAAAGATCTACAGGCCGGTATTCATAGCCAGATCGTATGCTCAAGACCGTCTTGAATTTATTAAAGCCAATAAAAAGAATTACAAGCGCAAAAACTATATTTGACTGAGTCGGTAAAAAAGATGGCCGAGGGATCCTCTTACGTCGGTCTTGAACACAGGATCTGACTATGAATACCGGCCATGTATGTGTTTAACAGTTTGAAAAAGTAAATGTAAAGGAAAACTCGGCCCGATTGGCGATATGTGCTTAGAAGATCTCAACTTGGATCATTTCATTGGGGTCTTGAATATAAGATCTGACTATGAATACCGGCCAAGTATGTATTTAACAGTTTAGCAAAGTAAATGTGAAAGAAAACTCGGCCCGACTGGTGAATCCTACACTGAAAAAAATTTCTGGTTGAATATGGACGAATCAGATAATTCCTTTAGGATTTACCAGAATTCCTGTAATCCTACAGGAATTCTGGTAAATCCTAAAGGAATTATCTGATTCGTCCATATTCAACCAGAAATTTTTTTCAGTGTAAGTGTGAAATTTTCCCGAAATTCTTCGAAGACAAATACAACTAACATGAATTAATGTCAGAAAGCGCATTCAATCTCGGTTATTCCGCAACTTCTCGATCGTCATCCCACGCGATGGCGAGTCGAATTAATATAACCGACGCTTCTTTCGGCGTACGCGAACCTTGATTTCCTTGTGCTGCTGCACTATCCGCAGCAGGAAGTCCTGCGGTTTCGGCTCGCACGGCTCCGCGGGTTGTATGTGACAGCACTGGGAGTAGAGCGCGTGCGGCGGTGACAGCGCGTCGTAATCACCGCCGTCGGCTTGCGCTATCAGGGCGACCAGGCGGGCGACGGAGGCCCAATCTGCGACCTTCAGCCTGCCCTCGACCAGCTCGAGGCGGGAGTGCAGATAGAACTGATGCCTGCAATCACAGAAAGCGGGGGGGGAGACGACGATGAGACGGCGCTTCTCGGAAGAGACGACGTGTTCCGCGAGGGTGAAGCGAAGAGTTATTAATTGCAATTAGTTCAATTTCGCGACGGGCGCGCGGCGGACCGGCTAATATACACGATACTCCCCCGGCTAAAGTAAGATTGATTACTCCTCCGTTCTCCGGGCAGCATTGTTTTAAGGCTCTCGCCCGCTCCCCCTCCCCGTCAACCCCGGCCAGGCCGAGCAATGCGGTAATACAATAATGCGGAGATGATTAACGATCGGGCACGTTCGTGGTGGCGAAAAATACGTTTCTCGCGATTTAATTGCACGCGGCGTTTAGCCATTATCGCCGGGAGAGACGTTCCCGCGTCTGTGCGTGACGTGGAATCCTGTGCGACTCGCCGCGCCGCTCCGGAGGGGGTGGCATTCAATCGCACGAGTTGTCGCGCGCGTTATTTCCATTTCCAACCTTCTCCCCTCCCTTCGCCCCTCTTCTTTTTACGCGACAGGCCATCGCGAGGGGAGGAGGGGGGGTTTCGACGGGGGGGGGGGATATTTTTACGTTTTGGTTCGCTGAAAATTTCTGGTTGACAACTTAAATGATTCATATCGCGCATTTTCCATGGTACCATGACTCTACGTTCGCATGCATATTTGAAGAATAGCGGAGCGCGCGCGCGCGCGCGCGACCGGGGGAAGGGGTGGCTCTCGAAAATACCTCCGAGCTCCTCTCGCGCACTCCTGAATATCCCTTCAGCTGTACAATGCATACATCTCGCGATAAACATGTTGCCGTCGGAGAAGTGGAATTACGCGTCGAGAGGAAGTGAATAGCCCGTTCGCGAAGTACCAGAATACGATAAAGAATCTGCATCAGAATATACCGTGCTGTGCCATTTTTCACGATTCCGCATACCGCCGTGCATTCTCCTCCCTTCCGCCTCTCCTTCTCTTCCCATTTTTTAACTCCCTCCCCCCCAGGCGGACTCGCGTCGCGGGGATAATGGATAATCGGCGGCATCGAAAAGACTCCGCGTGCACACGGCCGGCGGCAAATAATTTGGCACAATGGGAGGAACAATTTATCGCCCGTACTTCCCGTTCGCGCGAGCATCGACCCTCATTCGGGTCGCGAGCGACACTTGTAAAGCACCGGGCATCAGGCTCCGGCTTTATCGCCGCATCAGCGCCGTCACCTCGATATCTCGATTGACAAAAAAAAACCCCCCAGAAATATCCGCGGAATATGTCCCCGAGCGGTCGCACTCGCCGCGTTCGCGACGAGCGAGATATCAATCCCGACCGGGACCAAAACGAGGATCCACACAAGCGAGTTTGTAGAGAGCGTCGCCGGTCCGGGATCTTCGAATTTGCCGAACTCGGTATCGAGAAACGCATTCTCTCGGGGCTCTCCGGCTTGTTTACCGAAAAACTTCGGGCGACCCCGATACTTTTTCTCTTAGGAAATTATCAAGGGGACGCTTCTCGCGCGAGGGAGGAATCGCGTCAGAAGGTTGCCGCGTAAAAAAAATTGGGTCGCGGTCGTAATTTCGTGGGATTCGCGCGCCTCATCGCCGTCGTATCTTGGCACGCCCGTTTCTTCGCGAACCGCCGTGGAATTCTGGGTAAATTAAGCGATTTTCCTCGCCATAAAGTTCCGCCGGTGCTCTGCGCTCGAATCCCTCTCTCCTCCCCTCCTCCCCGCCCCCCAAAAAAGAGAGGCGTTATTTACCGCGGGTCGTTTTCCCCGGTCGCGGATGTGCGAACAATCTTGCCGCTCTCGTCCGGAGGGAACTTGCCGTCCGCGTCGGCCCCGAACTTCGGCCACGAGATCCGCGGGATGGTGGAGAGCGCTCGAGGACCCAATGACATTTGTCACCGCGAGAGAGATATTGGTTCTGCCCGAAGTTCCCGGGAAGGTCGGAGAGAATGCCCGAATTCCTTCGTCGGTGGTTTCATTGTTAACAGTCGCGCGCGACGAAAATCGCCGCCGGAGGACCGAGCCCTTCCGGCCGGGGACAAATTCGCGCGGAGACAAAGGGGACGATCTCGAGCCGGCGCCCCGCGGACTCTTCGTCGAACGTACGTCTCGGGGTCTCGGCCGACAGCCTCTCGCGATTTTCCAACCGCCGAAACTTACTCTCGGGAAAGTGGTTCGCTCCTCTTCGTCCGCGAATATTACGAGATCACCTGAGATCACGCGATCCCACGGTCGCGAGTAGCGGCCGTAACGTCTCGATTCTCCGGATAATGATATAATCAGAACGGCAGTGTAATCGAGCTCACTTAATCTCGCGTTCTGACCCGTGGAGGGGCCGCTGGATAATTAAGCAGAGTTTGCACTTTGCATCCGCAGTGATACCGTCCGTCTCGTTAATCTGAAATGACACCGGATTTAATATTCCCGACGCATACCGCGTCACTACCCGTTGGTCCTCGGACGGCGATTAATCTCGTCGCGCGTTCGCGGAGCATTTTTCCGCTCCAAAATCGAGACGAAGAGACGAGAGGGCGCATTATCGAATTATGAACAATGCTTTTCTAACACCGGACTTACGCGCGGCAGGAAGATCTGACTAAACGAGGCTGGGCTGAGTGCTTTTAGAAAGCTCTCAAGCCGCCTTAAACGCCGGGAAATCCCTCGGAGGAATAAAGCTTTTATTAAGCGCTATTACAGGCAAGACTATTTCGGGGGAGAATTCGGGGCGATACTTCCTCGCACTTGGTGGGAATTTATTTATCAGACCGCATACCGAACGGACATCGCGCGTCGCGCCGTGCCGTTTGATAAATATAACCGCGTCGCGCGGAGGATATTCGAATTAGCGTGTGCCAAGCAGCTCCGATAATATTAACGACATCGTCACAGAACGTCTGGCTGCTGGCGTATATTTCATTCATGACGTGTACACAGCGCTTTCCCATACATAATTCAGAAATGGAAACAAGGTCGGGCCCTCCCGCGCCGAGTTTCAAATAGGGCGTTCCAGTCGATTGATTGTGCAAGAGGTACTTATAAATCAGTCATACTGGACTAACGCGCCAAGTGTTGCCAACTACGGCGCGCGGCGGATCACCGTGAATGCACCTGCGAAATTCGAGAACGCAGTCGCGGCGAGGGTTTCGTCCGAAAATCGGGCACGTGCAATTAATTCCCGTTTCTCCGAGGGACCGAACGTATCGTTGTCTAAATCCCCCGGCTGGCTCGCGCCGCTAAGCTCCCCTGAGAAACGAATAGCGGGCGGACGACAGCGGCGTAGAAAAAATAGACAGCTGCAAAATTTCTGCGATAGATTAAACGTGACTTTCTCGGGTATTTTTTTCAATAAAGATTACAAGAGCGACGCGCATCGCCGAGTCGGCAAAGAGTTGCCCGAAGACCGTGAAAATTCGAGCCGACGTTTGCGCTCGGGCGGACAGGGTCGTGGAAAGCTCCCGACTGACCTCCACGTGGTCCACGATATTTCCTAGTAAATAATTCAAAGGTTATTTCCAGCCGGTGCCGGGTAATTTTCTGGACCGTCGTACGCCGGGCCGGTCCTCGTGGACGACGCGAAAAGCTACGTTCAGCAGAAAAAGTTGCTTTGCAACTGTAAATTTCACGAATTTGATTGGCGTATGCTCTTAAATTCACTCGAGATTAAGAGAATAGACGCCAATCAGATTCACAAATTTTACAACAGTTGCGAAGCAGCTTTTTCTGCGGAACGCAGCCAAAGATGAGGGCGGCCAGTGAGGGCAGTTGCGAGCAAACTGGAATTTCTTAGGGGGACGAGCTGCAATTTTCGCCGCGGCGAGTCAGCTGCATGCGGATTAGCATTAGCGTGCGGTTGTCGTGCGGACCGCCGGCCGGTGACATTAGCCAGCCGCGTGTTGTAAATGAGTCAACACCAGATCCGACAAGCCGTGAATTTCAAAAGGGTGCGGTGTCCCCCGCCCGCTCGCGGCCGCTCGGATTTCCGCGCGGAGAGTCCGCCGCGCGGCAAAGAGGATCGGCTTTGGTAGCGACCGTAAAGACCGGCTGCAAAGTGACCGCACGGCGATCCCCACGGAGTGCTTTAAATTATGTTTCACAATTTCGAGGCACGAGAAAACGAGGGACGTCGCAGGATGCACGTGGTATTAACCGCGTGCATAATGCACGCGCGAATTACGAAGTTTCCTGTCGGTCGAGGAGAACTGAATAGTTGAGCGATAATTAAACATTGAATTAACTGCTTAAATTAAGTGATTGCGTCATTTTTTTTCCACCCGTCGCCGCGTGCTACCGAAACAATCGTTTTGGTTGTACGGATTGTACAACCGTCGGATTTTTTAAGTCCAAAGTAACGAACGTGAAACCACTTGATATAAATGTTAAGGGGATGCTGGAGTGATTCTACACTTTTGGCACCGCTTGCTCCTAGATCTGTCAGTTCGTGAAAACATTTGTGTACGAACCGACAGTGTTCCACTATTCGGACTAAATCAGAGAACAGCATGGTATCATTGAAATTAAATTTCGAAGCCTAACAAAAATCTATTCTTTCAAATAAGTTATAGGTTAGGTAACCTATAAGTGAATAGACTTCTTGTTAAGCTCCTAAACTTAATTTCAATGATACCATGCTGTTCTTTCACTTACTCTGAATAGTGGGACACTGTCGGTCTGTACACAAAAGCCACATAATTTGTATATTACACAAATGTTTTCACGAATTGACAGTTCTAGGAGCAAAAGGTGCCAAAAGTGCAGAATCACTCCAGCATCCCCTTCTGTCGGATGTCGGGACGCAGCCGATGGTCCGATGAAAATTCTTTTTTGAAAAGAAATCCGTACCGTTGTACAGCATAGGAAGTCCATGTCGGAAGAACAGGTTCTTTGGCATTGCTATATAATTGTAGTGATCTTCTTTTTTTAAAAGAAATGTTCTCATTGGACCATCGGCTACGTCCCGACCTACGACGTATTGTAGAACAGGCCTAAGTGTTGTTACACGACGTGAA